GACACTGAAAGACAAGTGATCATTTTATTTATTTATTTATTGTTTCATTGTATCGTTTCACTATCCAAATACATAATCTTATAAAAGTGCACCCAGTACATATCGTGTACACAGTGTCTCATCCTCTTCTTTTCTCAGTTCTCTTTGTCTCCTTCATCCTTCGTTTTCAATGTTCGTTCTCATATACGCAACAACAATCATCATTGTGGATGGCTTTACTTTTGGTTGTTCGGTCCTTTGTAGAGCCATGTAAGCTTTATAACTGTTATTGTCTTAGGTTTGTGTTGTTGCAGTTTTGTTCTCGGATTGCAATTTTTTAGAAGAAAAACTTTATTAAATAAAAGAGTTTTATGCAATATGTACAAGAAGTGCAACAAAAAAGAGCAAAGATCTAGTAGCAAACAATGCAATAAACATGGAATCAAAACCAATAGCAGATTATGAGTTTTTGTATGATTATGTATGGTTATATGGTAACAAATTTTGTTGGATATTCATTTTTACTTATTTATTTGACAGTAAAAGAAATATTAGCAACTACAAGTTCTTTTGCTTTTTTTTATGCAAGATATGTTTTTATTTTTGAAAAAACAAAGATGTAAAATGAAATTATGTTTGTAAGAGGACAGATGTTAGACCGGATGCTTAAGTCAATATGTTCAACATCTTAAACCAGAATTGATAGATAAGATAAAACATAATGATACATCAAAAAGTTATAAAAGAACACAAAGAATTGTTAACCTAATTCAGTGCAAATAATGCCTATGTTTGGGGGACTTCCAACCCAAAAAAGGAAATCCATACTTCAATAGAATTAGTACAAAGTGTCTTAGATGAACAACCTCGTGTTCAATGCCCCTCTTCTTAATTCTACATGTGTCTTTCTAGTTAGGACTCCTTTTAAATTTGATAACTCCTCTCACTTTCTCTCAATCACTAATTTCAAATGATCATTATAATAATAAATGTTGAATTATAATTCAACTAACAAACCAAACTTTATGCCTTTAGATATGAATGCAATCGCTAGAGTGGTGCAGAAACAACATCACAAACAAATACTCAAAGTATAAATCCTAACCCACGAAACTTCAATACTTGCACATTCAAACATTAGGTTTGAGTCTCCTTAAATAGTAATGAAATCTTATGGGATTTTCTCCAATGGGAAAAAGATATGATCACGTCCAGATTGTAGAGGATTTAGCTTTTATTTATTTTTTAGCAACCTCCAAAAAGATTTGATTTGTTTGAATTTAAATTTAAACCTCTAATTGATTTAATTTGATCCTTTTAATCAACCAAATAAATCTAATTAAATGCATTTCTAAAAGATAGCAACAAATTTAATTGAGATGCAATAAAAAATCACGCTTAAAAGTCAAAACAACTACTACATTGGTCTGCTGACAAGGGCCAAATGTTGCACACATGCTGGAACATTTGGTCGCACGTGTGTCCTTTCTTCACAAAAACATCTTGTACATTTGATGTTGTTTTACATAATGCAGTCAATCCAAAAGGAACAACAATATCCCTTTTTGAAAATTTTTGGCAAAACAACTTTATCACAACTTACAAGAATGTGAAATACAAACTAAGCAAACATAAGCACACCACAAACAAACACAAAGAGCAAACAGCTGTGGCAGCAAAAGTAGCACAAACTAAAATCATACAATGTATTTGCTACATCAAAACACATAATGCTCTCATACATCCAGGCACACAATCAATCATGCATGCATACACTCAGTATTTAATAGTAGTCAGTCATAACACAACACTACGTATCAAACATCATAGTTCACACACAATAACTCACAAAGAGATCAGCTTACACATGCTCATAGTTGAAGGTGAGATGTCAGGCCAGAGGCTCTAACATGTTAGCACACCAATTAAACAATACTCCACAAACACATCAGAACATCCATTGCAGTAGGAGTAACACATTCACATCATAGCATATAAACACCATTACTCCCCCATTTTCCCATAATTTGGAAAAGATGTGAAAAGAAAGAAAAATAGATAAGTATCACACAACATGAACCATTGTCATTTGCAGAAGACCCAGGAACATAATAAATTAAAACTTGCCCATATATAAGGGCCAAAAACAATCATAATATGTTTCTTCAGAAACAACACAAACAACTTCAGCCAGATGACTTCAGTTTCCAGAGCTTGATTCTTCTTCTTCACTTGAGGATTCTGCATCTTTCTCACTGGGTATATATTTACTCTTAAGGTATGAGTTTTCAAAAAGGAGATGAACTCCTTATATAGCCACAAAAGTTCTACTACAAAAGCCCATAAGGACTTAAGTCATGAATTTAGTTGGAATTCTAAAAAGTACACGAGATCAATCTTCAATAATGATAATTTTCAATCTTGATTGATCTCCTTGAAATAATATGAATTTCTTGGTTATTCTTTTTGTATTTAATTTAGATGACATCCTCAAAAAACACACATGATTAATCAAATATTTATTATGAAGATTGAGATCTTCGTAATCAGTATGAGACAGATATCTTACAGATCACAGAACATTTGGCTTGAAATCTATCCACTTAACACAATTCTGAATCTTGAAAAAATCAAATAAAACCTTTACTTGATAAACATCACAGTTCTAACTTCTAACATAAAGGATTCAGAATAAATCTCTTGCAAAAACAGAAGCAAATATTTCTTCAAAGCATATTTAATCAAATCTTCTTTTCAAACTTATGGATTAATAAAATCCTTTTTCAAACTGATTTTGATTAACAAACTTCTCCCAAAAGTAATCTTCTCATCATATTAGAAATAATACAAATTTTCTAACCAAATGCCGAAGCGGACATTTAGTTCAGTAAGAGCATTATGTGTCTCAAGATGTCACATAACATGTTAAGACATCTTACTCAAAAATTTGTATAAAAAAATAAGTCAATCAAACAAGCAACAACAACTTATAAAATCCAAAGCGAGGCAGAACAACAAAAACCAATTGCATAAATCAACAAACCGGCAGCAGATCCTGCAAATAGGCAAGATGTTATGTAGATTGTTCCATGCATTCTTCATGACATTTTTCAGATTATCAGAGTGCAGTGAAACAAACTACGTGCTAAAAACAACCATAAACAACATCACACAACTTCTCAGAAACACCAGATAGAGTCAATAGAATTTCTTGTATATCATCATATCCATATCTCCCCCCCCCCCCCCCCACAAACTTGTAGTAGCAGCTACAACAAGTTAAAGTGAAAAGGCTTTAATATTTCTCCATCGAAAACAATATCAACTTCATCAACAGGTGCATAGATGTGTATCAGAGGACAAATGTTGGACCCGATGTCCGGCGCATCGTTCCCAACATTCAGTATGTAACTCAAATTCAAAACACTTCAGACAACATCAATCTCATTATCACAACTAATAATGTATTTCTTTTGAACACTCAAAATATCACAGATTAGAGAGGAAATGCCAATAGGTGGTTGGATGCAATGAGACTCAACATGTTTAATCAATTGACAAAGACAATATTCTCCATCCCCATCAATATGGAGGGGGAAAATCAACTTTGGAGCCCCAAACAGATAATTTTCACAGAGATCTTATTAACAGATGCAAATTGACATCACTAGATCGGACTATTTGCTTTGTCAACTCTAATAACAACTCCCTGCGATTACTAGGAATAATACAAAATGCACAAGTAAGTGTGCGATTGGATTGATGCTTTACAAAATTGATTTTCACATAATTGAATTTAGTAGAATTGATTTTAATATAATTGAGTTTAACATAATTGATTTATGTTTGGATATATTTATGTAAAAGTTAGATTATAATTGGATTTAGTAGAATTGATTTTAATACAATTGAGTTTAACATAATTGATTTATGTTTGGATATATTTATGTAAAAGTTAGTTGAACAATAAATCTTATTGTAAAAATTATATTTAAATTCGTAAGCTACACATCCTAATTTCAAATAAATTAATAGGCAGAATCAATTCTACTTTAGAAGAATCAAATATTTTAAAATCACTCTATAATCAATTTTACACTTTCTACTTTTGACTCTTTCAAAAGCCACATTCATTTGTTTAAAAAATGAGATATGTTATTCTTACACTAATATTTACGATATGCTATTCTTACACTAATATTTACACTGCATTGTATTTTACTGCTCACCACTGTTCACAGTAAAATATTATAATAATAAAATAATAAAATAATTTTTTAAAAATATATAAAAATTAATTATTTTTTTATATCTGAACATTTATTAACCAATTTTATAACATCATTAACCAACTTTTTACATTGCATTAACCAACTTTGTTTTTCTACTAAAAATTATTTTTATATTTATGCGTTTATTAACGAACTTCGTATCTTCGTTAACCAACTTTTTACATTGTATTAACTAACTTTATTTTACTAGTAAAAGTTATTTTTAATATCAGAGTCTTTGTTAACCAACTTCATTACTTTATTAACCATTTTTTTACATTTGATTAACTAACTTTGATTTACTATTAAAAATAACTGTTCACAAACCCTGTTCACGGATATTGTTCATGCATATGACATTGTGCAGATGACACTGCTCATGTACGGTTTACTGTTCACAACACTAATCACCATATTTGTGAACAGTTCAAACAGTCAGGTGTAAGGAGGGTGTAAAGATACCATTGCAGTTAAAAAACAGTGAAATTTATACATACTATGCTAAAGCAAAGACAATGAAATTGAAATCCATCTACGTTTTGAACAAATGTCAATATATGAACTTCAAATTTTCATCACAGTTCAAAATGCACAAGTGCAATACTAAGACGACAAAACATGTGCAGTGGAATGTGCATTTATGTTTTAAAAAATTGTGAAATTTATACATACTAAGCTGAAGCAAACACATTGAAATTGAAATCCATCTACATTTTGAACAAATGTCAATATATGAGCTTCAAATTTTCATCACAGTTCAGAATTTTCATATGACTCATAATTCTCATACTCAGTAGATTCATAAGCATTGGATTCTTCACTGGGAGAAGATTCATATAAACTGGAACTTTCAGAGCTTTCAGAAAAAGGAACTTCGCCATCAAAGGAAGTATCAGGAGCATCAAAATTTTCATTAACCGGTGTTTTATGAACTTCAACTTCGCCTGTTTGAACAAATTGCAACAACAAATGCACTCCATTAACAACATCATAAATCATTAGTCCTATTCTGCCGCCAACCCAACTGCCCATGTGACTTCCAACAAGATAGCCAATTCTGCCAAGGCTCTGCTCCCCCAGGTATGCACCCCCATAAGCACCAAATAAAGTGCCAGTACCCCTAAGGAACCCTTCTGTGAGTGTACCACCATAGTAAATAGCTTCGAAAAAGTCCCATCCGGAAGAGATGACGGGACCAATTATCCTTTTGGCTTGACGGGAAGCCAATTTTGCTGCCTTTTTACTTTCTTTCTGTGCATGTTTAGCTGAATCTGTTGGGGACATCCCTTGACTAACAGCGTCGACAAGGGCAGACTCGATTGCTAGTTGCCTTGCTTTTTCAACGTGAGTAGATCTAATACTGTAAAAATAGAGCTTCACGCCTTCCTTGACAGCACATGCCACAGTTCCAGAGCCCATGTCAAAACAGTTTAATATCGTGAACTTTCCACTTTGGGATGACCCCTCCTCACCAATAAACTCCCTGCATTTTTCAGCTGAAAGGAGCAACTTATATTAGCACAAGCAGACACTTCAAACAAGTACTATCAGACAGTGTAGTCGAATGTCTTAAACAGTCAAAGACAAGCATGCATGACCAATATTGAAACATGAATTATGTGCAAAAATCAGTAAGTCTTTTGCTGCCAATACACACTAAGAAAAACGTAAATATACCAAATCCTCCATTTTAATTTCATTCCAATATGGGATGCAATGCAATCTGCATTTGTCTTCATTCCATAATATAAAAAAATACTGTAGACATGTAGTCCATTTAACTCCATTTGATTTAATTTCATTCCATAATAAGAAAAATACTGTAGACATATGGTCCATTTAACTCCATTTGATTTAATTTCATTCCATTCCCTAGTATGTGCAGTTATATTTCTCCATTCTCCATTCTTTCAGAGTATAAAAGTTTTAAAGAGCAATATCACAAAGATCCAAAAATAGTCAAATAGTATGATTGCTTACACAATTTAAAGAGTTATTATTATATAGTTATTAAACTCTTCAAATACAGTCATAGGATCTCTAAGTCATACCAACAGAACTGGTGGGTTCTACCGTGAAAAAATTAATTCCGAGTAAATTGATTTTGGCTTAAAGTGAGTTGAAGGTAAAGTGATTTATGTGATGATAAGTTCTTGCAAAAGTGAGTTGAACAGTAAATTTCAATGTAAAAATCACGTTTAAACTCAAGTTACAAATTTTATCTTCAATTAGAATCAATTCTTAAAAGCAATTCTACTTGAGAGCAACCAAACATGTTAAAATCAATTCTACACATCCAGATTCAATTATAAGTGCTCCACCCGTAAAACAAAAAGTACACTCTTAGCAACAAAAAGAAGAAGAAAATTTGAAAAAATGCAGATCATAGTGAATTCAAATTTCTTAAATGCCAAATACCAAAAAAAACTTAAGGGCTTAGACATTATACTAATGAGTTATGATATACTCCCTCCATCCCACAAAAACCGAACTATTTCAAAACAAAACCCCAAATTTAATGACCATATCAATTTTACCTAATATAATTCTGTTTGTATCATCTCCTCTAACTATAACTAACCCTACTTGCCTCATTCCCAAGTCAAAATCTTCTACTCTGAAGTTATGATGACAATAAATATATCAATGCTTGATAAGGATAATTGAGTACCTCACTCTTTCAATTATACATTTGTCTTAATCTTAACTGTTCAATTACGAAAAAATTCATCAACACAAAAATGGCAATGTTTACAATCTAATGTAGAGTATGAATCCTTATGAACCCCAGATCACAAGCACAAATATGAAATCACTAATAAACTTAACACAAACTAAATGAATGGATTAACAGGAAATAAATCCCTAAATCAGAACAATTATAGTGTTAATTAGGATAGTGAATCAAATGATCAAGTACTGAGCCCTCCCTTAATCACAAATTGAATAAAAAATACATCAAAATCAATAGAATGAAACGGATAAAATACCAGTGATGCTGAGAGCAATAACAGCGGCAACAATAACGAATAACCGAATCCTTCTTTTCTGGACATCCATGGCGTTAACTGTATACCCTAAGTAACCCTCTAGATAGTTATCGTCTTTTGGGGACAGTTTAAACGGTTCAAAAAGTGGTGAGAGTCGTGATTATCTTGTTGAACTACGTTGCTTTATCGGAGGCTTATTTACGTGGAGGAAGTTGAACGTTGACCGGTAGTACACGGAGTGACCGGCGGTGGAGAAATCAATCGTCGAGAAAGCAATTGAGAGCCCGTAGGCTTAAAGCCCAATATGTTTTGGTAGTTGAAAAGTGGATTATTATTAGCACCCACTTTCTTTATTGTATACACCACCATAAGTTTTATTTATTTATTTATTTACTCATTCAAATAATTTAGTGATTCAATTTACCTTTTAAAATTAAATAAATGGATGTTATGGATTCAAACTTGCACCTCTACGTCAAATGTCTTTACAAAATTGTCTATTGAATTGATTTAAAAGAACTACTCTTTTTGTTTTTTACTATAAATCATTTATAATTTTTCATACATATTAAAATATAATAATTATAGTATAAAACAAAATTAAGAAAGTTTTTATAAAATTATTTTTTATTAATAATATTAGAAAGACAAATTTATATAATTAAAAAGATAAAAAATAATAAATTTTTAAAAGTATAATAAAAAAAATAACATTAATATTATAAAATAATTTATATTGTGATATAAATTTTTTCTCTCGATGACTTATAATAAAAAACAGTTGTAGTATTTATTTATTATATATTTTAGTTATTGAAAAAATTTTATTTTAATTATTATTAATTTTGGATCTATTTTATTATATATGCATTAAAATATAAATATTAATTTTGATTAATTAAATTTAAGTTTTACTTATTTCTACTTTTGTTCAAATGAAATTTAACTTTAATTTTTTTAATAAAATTTAATATAAATACTTTAAAATTTTATTTTAATTTGAATATATTTTGTAAAGATTACCAAAATCTAAAAAGGAAAAAATAATATATTTGTAAAGAGTAAACATAAAAATTACAAAGATTAAAAAAATAACATATATATAATGACTAAATTTTTTGGCTTTTTTCCTTACCGTTAACTAATTTTTTCAAATAACTCATTTTCCAAATTTTATTCCATCTATCTTACTTTCTATTTATTTTTATTTTCTAATGTACCCTATTTTTTAAAATTATACATGCACGTGTCAATAGCTATTGGATTGTCTTGCGACCGCCACTTGCTAATTTATGATGTGTTTCATGTGTTTCGATTAAGAAGATACATTTTAGATCCGTCTCATGTGATCCAAGTGGACGATATACAGGTCAAAGAGAAGCTGACTATTAAGGTGTTGCACAAGCTAATAGAGGATCAGAAAGTGAAGCAGATGTGTGGTAAGAAAATTGCCTTGGTGAAGGTAGTGTGGGGAGAACCAACAGGCGGAAGCATAACTTAAGAGCTGGAGAGTTAGATGAGACAGTCGTATCTAACTCTGTTTCCTTCAAGTAATTTTCAAGGGCAAAAAATTTTCCAAGTGGGAGAGAGTTGTAAAACCCTGTTTTTGTTAGATAATTTTGTTTAATTTAATTATGTCTTTTGTGTGATTTAATTACTTATTGTGTGGTTGTGGGGTAAGTATCCTTGAGAGAGAGAGAGAGAGAGAGAGAGAGAGAGAGAGAGAGAGAGAGAGAGAGAGAGAGAGAGAGAGAGAGAGAGAGAGAGAGAGAGAGAGAGAGAGAGAGAGTTTGGTATGGTTGTTTATAATTAATTAGAATCTTAATTAATTATTAGAATAAATAGTATTTTATTTGAATTAATTAAATAGAATAGTAAAATGATATAATTAGGCAAATAGATAGGAGCGGAGAGTTAGGGGGGTCGGGCAATAGTGTGAATTAAGAAAATTGAGGGTTAGTGAGGTAATTGGAAAGAATTATGTCGAAAACCCTAAGGATATATTGGAAGTAAGAGAAAATTAACCTAGTTTTTATCAGTACATGTAATTTGAGAAAAGAGGCAAAAGGAGAGAAAGAGCTTTTGAAGGGAGAAGAGAAAAAGTTAGGGTTTTGAAGAGGGAAACCATAGAGGTTGTTTGATTCATCATCTTGCTGGAAAATCCAAGGTGAGAGGGAGAAAGGGTTATTAATTTAGGTGTATTGCATGAAGGGGTAGAGATAAGAAGTCCTTAATCTCATTAGGGTTCTAGGTTTTCTTTTGATGATTTGCTATATGATGAAATTATGAAAATTGGTTGATTGATATTATGTTTATATATGTTGTTATGATTGAATCCATGTTTGAAATATCATTAACGTACGTGTATAAAATTCTTCCATTGATGAATTTTTGAATGCTTGATTTATGTTCATGATTGACGATGAAATTTTTGTTGAAATTGTTGATGGATTACCATGAATCATGATGAAATAAGTGTTGTAATGTGTGATGGTTATGATAACATGATTTTTGTGTTTAATTCGTGTTGAAGTTGATTAATTTTTGGGAAAAATTGATTGGGATCATGTATGGTGATTTAAGGAGGAAGAAGATGATGAACATGTGTAAAAACTGAATTTTAAAAAATAATACAGTGACAATCGATTGTCACAATATTATAATTGATTGCATATCATAGAAAAGTGATTTTTTGTGAATTTAGTGGCGAATTATGTTGCTGACAATCGATTGTCACCCTATGACAATCGATTGTCATATACCAAATGGTGAAAATTCTGCTTTTGTTTTTGTTGTGTTGTCCAACGATTTTGGTTGTATCTTTAATTTCGTAAATCCAAACGAGACGCCATTTGAAGCGTTAGAAAGCTAACGTGTAGAGCTACATCATGATAGGTCTTAGTGAAGTGTTTGAGTTGTAGTCATTTACCTACTATTGGGATGTTTTTGATGACTTGTATGATCGATTAGCGAATCGTTGTGTTTATACAATGATTGTTATTGTTTTGGTGAAGTAACATGAATGAATGCTTATGAAGTTACATTCATTGAGTTGTTGTTAGTTGTTATTGTTGTTTATTAAGACTGTAACATTTATTAATTGTTGCTTATGATAAATGATGTTGTGCATAAATGGTGAGGTGTGCATGGTGATTCTTTTGGTGAAACTTTTGGTGAAAATGCATGTTGTTAAGAGTCACACATCACGGTGTATGGGCTTCGATCCAGTTTTAGTGTGCTCAGGTCCGGTGGTATGGATCGGGAACAAGTAACTAGTTTTAGTGAGGAATTAGTTAAGTGTTACCTATGGTGATGGTAACGAACTTTGGTATGCTTTGGTCCTACGGTGGGGATCAGGAGCGAGTAATCGATTCCAGATAGAGATCGGCGAAGTGTTACCTATGGTGATGGTAATGATTTTGTGTGCTCTGGTCCTATTATGGGGATCAGAAGCGAGATGAACTTGAGTGTTCATGAATGGTAATGCATACATAATGAGTCAGTTGTGGAGTATATTGCATACATGTTTGCATATGTAGTTGATTGTTCATGATGTTATCGATTGGTTGTGAATATGTACATGATGTTATGAAGGTTGTGAAAATATGTTGTTGCCGACTATGTAATGCATATGTTTTTGTTGTATGTTTTCTAACTTAGCATTCCTTACACTGTTTATATTGGTTTGTTGTTTCTCACCCGTTTACTTTCATGTTGCCCATCATGGACATCTTGCAGATACTCTTGAGCAGAGTTTGATACTATAAGTGGAAGTATCTCCTTGAGTTACTTCGTTTAGTTCATCGTTGTTTTAGAAGTCTTGCTCTGATCCTGTAACCTCGGGATTGGGAATGTTTGTTTGCTTATTATGTTTTGTTGGACTTCAATTGTTTTATTATGTTTATGTTGAAGTTGTTAAAGAGTTGAATATGATAACTCTTTATTTTGAAAACAATTTATGAAAATTTTAAAGTTAAGACTAAATTTCTAAGTTATGTTGTTTTATTTAATTGAAATAAGACCAATACCACCCTAATGATACCCTAAGTGAAAGTGAGTGTGCGATGACATATGTTCTATGACGTTAGTATTTTTTCGTTTTGTATTTGTTAAATGTTTGATTTATTAAAGGTTTTATTATCGGTAATACCTTAGATTGTCGTGTAAATTTTAATATATAAGTTTCGGGGTTTAGGGTGTTACAAAATTTGTCGACCCAATATAAAAGATCAGAGATATGAATCAGATTCAAGCATTTTCAACAAAGCAAAGAGTGAGAAGAATAAACAATTCATAGTTGAAACCCAAGATAATGGAAGAAAGCGATGTAGTGTTGAAACAAGTAATGACGCCATCCAGGAAGGGACAATTGTACCCAAACTCGGAATTGCCTTTTAGAGTACGACGAAAGTTATTCCACGGGGAATACAAGCCATAAAATATAGAAGGAGAAGAAATTCCTAGGACTTGGAATGATATTAATTTAAGATATTAATATGCTTGAACAAAGCCTTTAAAGCCAAACAATATGCAACTTTTTTTTCTTAAAAAAAATCAATAACTCTTAGGGTGACACATTTTCCCCCATGCAAGGGCAATGGTTTTAATGGGGCGCCCTAAGCGTTTTAAATATCAATTTTTGATGCCACATATGAAAATCTTAAATGATCAACTAACATTATCCTCTAACAATGTTACCTAAATAAGACTCTAAAGCCCTCTGAGGTATATGCCAAAACCTTAGTAGGACTCTGGAACCCTATAAGGTATTTATCAGAACTTTAGTATAACTATGAAGCCCTCTGAGGTATATTCCATAACCTTAGTAAGACTATGGAACCCTCTAGGGTATTTATCATAATCTTAGTAGAACTCTAAAGCTCTTCAAGCTATATATCAGACCTTTAGTAGGACTTTGGAGCCCTTATAGGTATTTATCATAACCCTAGTAGGACTCTAGAGCCTTTCAATGTATTTAAGAACCTTAGTAGGACTTTAAAGTCATCTAAGATATATACCAAAACTTTAGTAGGACTCTAAAGCCACCTGGGATATCTACCAGAACCTTAG